TAGGGGGTACCGCTACAGGCAGTAGGGTCACGGTAGGGGGTACCGCCATAGTGCAAACCAGGCTAATTTCCATTATTACGGTCGATAGCTACATGTGGGTGACGGTAGGGGGTCCTTCTCAGATTGACTCATGGTACCCCTTACGGTACCTCTTACGGTATAGGGTACCCGCTAACCGTTTTTTCATTTTTGTCCAAATTGTTTCCAATTTTTTTAAAACCTTTTGAATGTTTGATAATGATTATAAGAGGGTTTTGAACATATTTTGTGAGTGCTTTTGATCTTGTGAATATAGGTATATAAAATCATATCCTTACAATAGTTTCTACCTATATTCTACGCTAGTTTTGTGTTTCGACTTCATTCTTGAAAACCAAATCTTAATGGATTCTTGTTGTACCTGAAACACGTAAACAAATGTTAGCTCTTATATTGTTTGTTAACATCAAAACACGAGGCTTAACAAACTAAGGCTAACAATCTTCCAGTTTTTGATATTGACAAACAATATACTTCAAAGTGAGTTAAGCGGGAGTAAAAATAATGAAGCCCCCATAAGAGTAAACATATTGAAAATACTCACTTTGAACATCTCTTGTGTTTATTAAAAAGTTTATGTTTGATGCAAATAATCACACAAGAGTGCACTCAAGTCATGTTGCATATGCACAACTTTGAAGTATATATCTTCTCCCCTTTTTGTCAAAATCAAAAAGGGCATTTTGGAAATTTTTTAAACATGTATAACTTCTTGAAAACCCTCCCCTATCAAAATAAATTTTTGGAATGAATGATAGTTTAGAGATCAGTGGTTAGAAGGTGCATTTACAACAAAACCCCCCATAAAAAAACTCCCCCTATAATGATGTAAGAAAAAAACTTTATTTTCAGGGATTTTTGGGGATAATTTTCTAAAAGACATGATTTAAAATGAATTTTTAAAAAATTATTTAATCATGCAAACCAAGGCTAAAACAAGTTGGAGCATATATGGGATAAGTTTTTATTTTTGAAAAATATTAACAACAAAAAACTATTATCCCAAGAAGTGAGAAAAACTTACCTTAGCTTATGTCGTTTCTTTCTTCAGCTTTGAATATGCTTCTTTCCTCTTCACATGCTTCTTCCATTTGATGAAATCCGTATACTTTCTTCTCATCGTCTTTTCTTCATCTTCATCTTCTTCTTCATTTGACTCTTCAGATGTGTTTGAGTCATTTGATTCATCACTTGACTCACTCGATTCTTCACTAGATGAGTCTTTGGAAGCTTTGAAGGCATTGGTAAGTTTGGGGTTTTGAAGCATTTCATGCTCTTTGATCTTTTTCAATAAAAGCTAATGAGAATATAAGGAAAACCAAATGTGGGTGGTTTCGGTCTTATCACATTTGGGTAATAAATCTACGATACTACTATGTCATTCTTTAGGTAAAGAAAATAGAATTTCTACTTGACCAATTTTAGTGAGCCTTGTTCATTGAATTATGCGAGAATAATTGGCCAATTTTACTGTTTCAATTTGGCTCTCATCTTTGTATAGATATAGATGTTTCAAAAAGTTTTTGTTTTTATGTTAGAAAACGAATGAAAATGATTTAGTCGTTGTAGATGAAGTATATGTTAATTTTTTCATTTCATTTATACTACCTTTCAAATACAAAGAATTCTGATTTTAGAAAATTATAAAGAATAATTTTAAAATATTTTAAAAATGAATAGAAAATAAGAAATTGGTATATGATGCCCCCTGTGGTTTTAAAGTTCGGCATCAATTCCCTTCTTCATCGAAAAGATGAACGACAAATAGTCATATGGGTGTATCAGCAACGTTTAGAAACCATAGGGAGATTAGAAATTAGTTTTCAAAACAAAGAGGTTATTTGTATCTATTTTCCAAACTGCAAGGGAACTGAATTATGACACCTTTTAAAATTTAACTCTATATCCTTTTAATTAAAAAAATAGATTGAAAAAAAATGTAAAAGATTAAAATAGGAGTAAAACATAGAGAATATGGAGGCATCGTGTTTTTATTCTCGAAATCAGACTTACGTACACTATCAATAATTTGAGTAAATTCCATAAAAGATCTCTAGTTATAGTTCTTTTTACATATTTAGTCCTTACATATCAAATATCAATAATTATAAATCGTTTTAAGGAGTTTATGGTCAATAACCAATTCTTGAAACTTTAAATGACATAGAGAGCATGGGGTCTTACTCGTGTACATATGTCTATGCCCCTGTCTTAGCAAGTCATAAAAGTGTTGCATTTGTGAACTAGCTAGTGAGTGAGAGTGTTAAACTTAGAACGAGAGTCGGATATTATCGGCACTAGCAATTTGCAATTACTCAGCAGCAATCATCAAAACAGTCTCTGAAATTAAACTAGCTAGTAGAAGTAGGATTAGACATATCAAAAGTAGACAAGAGAGAATAGATAACTTAATTAGTAGGGTTCCAAAGACTTTGAGATCCTGACTAAACTAAAACCCTTCCTTAATTAACCAGCAGATCAAAAAGCAAGAGATCAATAATCATTCGTGGTTATTTGATCCATGATAGCAGCCACAACATCCATGGACTCCTTGAGCAGCTTGACACACCTCGTTAATGTTGGGAATTAAACACACAACACACACAAATAATCTGCGAGAAACGAGAGAAACGGAACACAAACGACACACAAGAATTTAACGTGGTTTGGTTTCCATAATCCACGGCTGCAACAGGAGGATTTTCTTATTTCACTTGTAGTACAGATTACAAGTACAAGCCCTCTATATATAGGGGAAAAAACTAGGGCTACGCACAACTGGGCCGGGCCGACAAACAAGCCTCCACAAAGCCCAACATTCTCCCACTTGGAGGCTTGATAAACATCAACTGCCATCCGCCACGATCGCCTGTACATCGAGTAATCTTTTTCAGCTCTCCTGTTGCAGCGGCCCTATCATCAGACAACTGAAAGGCCCGTTGAAGCTCTCCCAAGCTCCAACACATCAGTCACGGCAAAATCTGCCCTTGACTCGTCCTCGGTCCCTACCGGCTCCCACTGCAGACGCACACCGCCGGATCCTGGAACATCCTGAGAAAAAACACTCTCCGTACTCGGCAAGAAATTTTCCGGAGATGTTCCAAAAGCTGGAATACTGGTTCTCTTGACCCACTGTCTTCTAGGCAACTTGGCTGAAGCGCCTTTTGAGCTCCCACTGCCATAAATACCTCTGACTGGCCCCCTTAAACCTTTCCACGCTCGTTCATCCTGAGTCTGACCAGTGGCTCTAGGTTTCTCTCTTGCACGGACAACCTTATTCTGCCCACGAGACTCTGTGAACCGGACTTTGTTTCTCTTCTGAACTGGGACGGTCACTCCCTCAGATGGTAACCCGACCATGTACAACGAACCTCTCTTCTTTCCACGGGCTATGACAAGATTTCCCTTCACGACCTTCCACTGCCCATCTCTGAACATTACCTCGTGTCCCTGTTCGTCCAACTGCCTGACAGAAATCAAACTTTTCTTCAAGGCTGGAACCACTCTGACATCCTTCAAAGTCCAGAGACCGACTGAGGTTTTCATCACCATGTCACCCATGCCCGTCACCTCAAGAGCTCTGTCGCCTGCTAGTCGTACCTTTCCAAAGTCTCCAATAACCAGATTCTGCAATGCTTCACCGTTGTGGGTAGCATGAAATGAAGCACCAGAATCCATGACCCAGGAATCCACATTGCTTTCCTCACAGCAAGTCAGAGCAACCTCCTCGTCACTCGCAGAGCCTTGAGCAATGTTTACTTTCTTATCATTCGGACATTGATTCCTAAAATGCTCTACCTCCTTGCACTTCCAGCACGTTACACCTGAGCTGTCACGAGTCTTCGACTGACTCCTTTGTCTGTTCCTGCTCCCACTACCTCTGCTATATCTTCTACCTCTACCAACATGAAGCAGTTCACCAGATGACTCCCCTGAACTCTTTCTTCTGACATCCTCGCCAAGAACGAGATCTCGAATCTGATCAAAGGTGAATCCATCGGGTCCCACTGAACCGGTAACTGCTGTAACCGTTCCGGACCAACTATCAGGTAAAGACGATAGCAGTAGTAAAGCTTGAACTTCATCATCGAACTTAATGCCCACTGACAAAAGTCTGGCTAAGATCGAATTCAGCTTATTGATATGCTCGGTAACAGAAGTGCCTTCTTTCATTTTTGTGTTCACCAGCTCTCTGATCAGAAAAACTTTATTCGCTGCAGATGGCTTCTCGTACATGTTAGACAACGCTTCCATAATTCCCTTCGTTGTCTTCTCCTTCAGAATGTTGAACGCAACATTTTTGGTCAACGAGAGACGGATCACGGACATAGCTTTCCGATCCAAACTTGCCCAATCTGCATTCGACATTTTTTCTGGCTTGTCACCCAAAACCACGTCCAAATCTTTCTGAACCAGCAAATCTTCAATTTGCATCTTCCACCAACTGAAATCTGTACCATCGAACTTCTCAATTCGGAACTTCCCATCTTCTGCCATATCACACGACTAGACGAGATACCCGGTATAACTAATTTCAGATCTTGGTAATTTCGTTAGAAAATCAAGCCCACCACACTAATTAAATATGTCCAAACCAAATAAGCCCAATATCCAGCCCACCCAAAAAAAACTGCGGCCCAAACCAATGGAGAAAGCCACTGCCTCTCTCTTTTCCTTTTTTCGCACCTTTCGTTTTCTGTGGCCTCTTCCTCTTCGCAGAAGCGGCGGCTGAAAATACTGAGCAACCGCAGCGGCAAGCTGGACGACTCCTCAGCGGCGGCTTTGGTCAGCGGCTGCACCTTCTCCAGACGGAGACAATCTGCGGACGGCGACGGATCGGCTACTGGGCGACAGTGGCTACTCAGTGAGCGGTCGGACGACACCTGCTCGCTAACGGCGGTTGACGGCTCGACGGAGGGCGGCGGATTCCACAACTCAGCGGCGGCGGCGTTGGCTCCACAGAGCGGCTTGTCTGCACGCGGTCGCGGACGATTGCGATCTAAGAGGTCGACAGTGGCACTACGAAGGGATGCTGCGGCGGTTCGCAGACTGATGGCGAACACCTGCGCAGCTCTCTCCCCCCCCTCACGAACAGGCGGCGCTACTCTCCTTCACAACGGAGATTCGACGCAGCTCCTCTTCGGCGGCGCCGGGATGGATCAGCGGCTGCTCCTGCGCGGCTGACGGCGACAACGACTCCTTCTCAGATCTGTCGCACACCTAGATCCGGAAACCCTAGGTGACAAATTTTCTCACAATTTGTGCTCCTGTTGAATAACCTCGCTCCGATACCACTTGTTGGGAATTAAACACACAACACACACAAATAATCTACGAGAAACGAGAGAAACGGAACACAAACGACACACAAGAATTTAACGTGGTTCGGTTTTCCTAATCCACGGCTGCAACAGGAGGATTTTCTTATTTCACTTGTGGTACAGATTACAAGTACAAGCCCTCTATATATAGGGGAAAAAACTAGGGCTACGCACAACTGGGCCGGGCCGACAAACAAGCCTCCACAAAGCCCAACAGTTAACTGGTGGCGCTTCTCCGCCACCTCCGGACACTCATCCAGCACCATCCTCTCAATGCCTCCCCCGCCTTTCGGTTCCACCAGTCCCGCCACGATCTCCTCTTCCATCTCATTCGTCACCAGCTTGTGGATGGCGAACTGGATGTGCGACGCCATCGTGTCCACAAGCCTCATCAGAACAATGTTCCAATATGCAGTCATCTTCATTTTCAGGTCGAATGCTTGCTGAGCCACGTTCCGTGAGTACGACCTCAGATGCGCGGTTTCTAGCCCATTGCCGATCCCTTCAATGTTCATCTTGGAAGACTTCACTGGAATGCTCCCGTGTAATCCTGAATTGAAAAAATAATAACCAAAAAGATGGTGTGAAATACGCGCTCATTTACTGGAAGCAACTTGAGCGTCTTTCTTTCTGATATTGATTACAATAAGAATAAGAGTTTAATTTTTCCGTATCAATAATGCAAAATCTTGACAATGTGAAACTTGTAGTATATTCCAAAAGGATTAAATATATAAATAACCTGTATGAGTATACCCAACTGAAACCGCCTCCTTGCCTGGAGATGAGTTTATTAGAGGTCGCAATGTACTCCGGGTTGGAGGTATAGGCAGTGTGAAATTCCATTCCTGTGATTTCCTTCACCCATTCAAACGACACTTGTTTCTTCTTTGCGATCAGGCTCTGCGCAGCTCGTCGCGTGGAAGACCGGAGCTGCGGGTAGCCATCACAATGGTGCATCAGGACCTTGATCAGAACCCTTTCCACATAATCCCACAGGCGGTCGACGAAATCCCTCGGCATTGCGGAGACCGCCTCCACTCTTTTCTGAAGCATGTTCAGGAAAACTCCAGGGGGGAGGAAATTTTGCAGATGAATCCCCTTAGACTCCTCCAGGGCAGAGATTTCGTCCATCAAGAACCCGTCTTTGCTCGGGGGATTCCCCTCCCTCAAATCAGCGGAGTAGCGGTCGAGCATCTCCACCAATCTGGCTGTGCAATGCATTTCCTTCTCCTCCGGGTACTCGTCGAATTCCCCCATCAAGAGAACCTTCTTCGACGACTCCTTGGCCAAGCTGAGAATCCTGATGATTGAGGCAATGGCTTCGGCCGAGGAGTTGAGCTTGCGCGGCGGAAGCCGACGGCTTCCGCGTCAGCTAGCCTGTCTTTGATTTTCTTGATGATTCCGGGCAGGGATTTTGAGATCATCCCCGCCTGGATCATGACCAACTTCTGAGCCAGGACGGGGACGGAGACCATGGATTTGTCAATCTTGGACAACAATGGGTGCCTCTCGAAAAGCTGTGCTTCCGCGTTTCGTGCTTCCTCGTACAACTCCTCGCCAATCTTGTTCCTAACGCAAACGTAGCCGAGTCCGATGTTGACATCATTGGCGGTGACCTTCTCCAGGAGCCCCTCCGGAGCTACGTCCACCTTGGTGACCACAGCCAGAGTCCTTTCCCCTGTCTTGTCCACTTTCCGGGACATCCGAACGGACTGGTTCGTCGGGAAATCAATTGTGGCAGACAGAACATTCAGAATTATGCTCTCTTCCGGGGTTATGTACTCCATTATGATGCTGCAAATCTGCTCGCAGATGTCCTCTGGCTGGTCACATATGGCAACCCGAGTGATTCCGGGCAAGTCCACCATGGTTAGATCAGGGACACCTTTCTTCTTCACAACTAGGGTTAAAGGTGTGCGGGAAACCCCTTTCCCGTCGCCGGCGATGGCTTCGGTGGCCTTCATGATGGATTCCACAACGTGGGCTTCGTCGGTGCGGACTGAGGCGCCATTGTAGTCGAGAGTGAGCGAGGTTCGGGTGGTTCTGGAGGCGCATGATGAGTGGGACCCGGGTGCAGATGCTCTGCCCTCTGGAGAGGGAAATCCCGGCGAGGGACTCGAGGACGCTGGACTTGCCGGAGGACTGGTCGCCGACGACGACGATGGTGGGAAGCTGGATGCCTTCTTGCATGACGTCGAGGCGCCGGAGCTGGTCGATGCAGTCCAGAAGAGGCCGGATGCGCCGGTTGCATGACCAGATGATGGGGGCTTCAATGGCGGCTTCTGCTGCTGCCGGTTTGCACATTGACGGCGGAGATGATAGATCTTTCCGCCATCTCTTCAAGAACCGAGTGGAAACCTGCAGATCGAGCTGAGGATGTGTTCAAGTTTTTATGATCGGACTTACTAAAGCCTTCCGGAGAGTAAATTAAACTGTAAAAAGCTAACTACTGCAAATGATATATATATCCATGGGTCCAAAACATGTCATCGAATAGACTTTTCAGATACGAAAAGATTTTGCAAGGAATATATACTCCCAAAGTATATATTCCTTTGGGAGCGATGATATATCATCGCCCCCAAAGGAATATCCGGAGTATGAGAGAAGTACTGAAGGGACCGGTTATCTCATTGGAGGAGTGCTCCGTATACCCCAAAGTATACCCCAAATGTACACCACATCCTTCCCCACAATTCATTTTTATTTATTTACTCCCTCTGTCCGGAAATGTTCTTCCCATTTGATTTTTTACGATCTCCAAGATTACACTTTGACCACTAATATCTTTATCTATACATGGATATATATTATAAAAATTTGATATTTGAAAACTATATTACAAAATGAATATATTCATATTAAAGTTATATCGTAATACAATGTATTTTTTCCATATATCATAGTCAAAGTTTACAAACTTTGACCAAGAAAAATCAAATGGAAAGAATATTTTCGAACGGAAGGAGTATTTATTTTTGAATTTAGGGAGTACTTGCCAATTTAAAGAGGGGGTGGGGGACATTTGGGGCCCATAGCATTTTTCATCTCATTGTGTGGCCAAATACCTCTATTGTGCATGTAATTTGAAAAATGCTTCTTAACCCCGTGATTCGCACGGGCTCGCGTACATTTCAAATTTTTGATAGTCTATAACTATATTTTTTTATTTAAATTTTCGAATAGTGATTACATATATTTTAAATTGGTAGAATATATATTGGTATGTTAATTTAAAAAAATGTTTTATACAGAATTAATGGTCATTGAATGAAATGCTAATAAAAATGATTTTAATTACGGAGTAGCATGTTTGGTTTTTAGCATTTAGGATTTTGACCCGTTATAGCAGATTTTATTGGTCAAACCGCCAAAAAAGGTGTTTGGTAGTTGGCTGCAAGGGTTGACTGTTTGAGCCCGAAAAGCCAAAATTTAAAAAGCTACGAGGAATAGCATTTCGGTTTGGTTGTTGGAAAATAGATTTTTTTATTACTCCCTCCGTCCCAAAAAGTCTTTCATGTTTCATTTTTAGCGCATATCATAAAACACTTCTACCGACATCTAAAATGTCTAAAATTTAGAACATTTCTTCTTTATTGTGGGTAGAAGTTATTTTGAAAGTTTTTTTGGCATTCAAGGCGAGATAGAAGTGTTTTTTGGGATGCGCAAAAAATGAAACAGGAAAGACTTTTTAGGACGGAGGGAGTATTTGTTATTGTATGTAATTTTTATGATTAAATAAAAAAATTATTATTTATTGTGTAATTAAATAAAAAATGGTATTTAAATAAATGTATAAATAAAAAATCGATAAATAAATAAGTAAATAAAATAATAACTAAGAAATTAAATAAGTAAATAATATGAATATAAAAAAAGTGAAATTTGTTCTAAATATGACTAAAACATAATGACTTTCCTAATGTAGGACTTAAACTTTTTTATTCCCTTGATAGGACTTAATAATGACCTAGTGGAAGGAATAATATTCAGTAATGATGGACATTTAGTTGAATAATGACTACTTGATAATGACCAAAGTCCTACATTGGAAAATAAAAACATATGGTCCTATATTGGAAAAGTCATTATGTTTTAGTCCTACTTAGGTAAATTTCTCAAAAAAGAAATCTTCCTATATACAATGGTAAGAGCACCTTATGAACAGTGTTCCCGCCTATTTTTATTTGGGCGAGTGGGCTGCCTTTAATGGGCTGAGTGGGTTGCTATACATGGGTCGAACATGTAGCAATTTAATTGTCTAAATTCACGTGTAAATGTAGGCGTATAGGTCGACTTAGGATTGATGGGAATCACCTTGGTCCAACAAATTTACTTTATTAACTTTATGTCTAATCCATATCTTAATCTATTGATTCAAAAAATCTTTAAGTACATGGACATTAATGTGATAGTTTAAGACTTTAAGTTGTCTCCAAGCCCAAGTGTGTGTGTGTGTGTGTGTGTGTGTGCATGTATATAAATATCCGAATTTGTTTATAGCATACACACCATTCAAAAAACACACCACAACCGTGAGTGATTGAAATGTCCAAAAACCCGCAAATTGTGATGTGGAATCCTACTATATACAATGTTAGGTGCATTTTGAGAATAGTGTTCCCGGCTAAAGTGAGGGCTTGGTGGACGGGTTTGGGCCTGCTTTGTGGTTCGAGGTTGGGCCTCGCGTGGTGTTGGGCTCAATGCAATTGCTTTATGTCTATTCAATTTAGTTTTTCCATAAAGTTGCATTGGGGAACAAAAATTTAGTTACTCCATAAAATAGATTTGATAAAAGGTTGCATAAAGTTGCATTGAGAAAAAAATTGAATGGCTCCATAAAGTAGATGAAAAAGTAACTTTATGTCTATTCAATTTTAGTGGTTCCATAAAGTTGCATTGGGGAAAAATATAGAGTGGCTCCATAAAGTAGATAAAAAAATAACTTTGTGTCAAATACATCCATTATATCCCATACCAATCTCACAAATACTGATAGTATAAATTATAGGTCATTCTCTGATTCACCGAAATCACAAATCCTCATGTTCCCAATTTTCTTATTTCTCATTCTTTATTTCTATTTCTTATTGAGCATCCAACTCTCCACATATATATGTGTATATATATCTGTAAATATATAAATTAGGACCTTATCTGTTATATATATATATATATATATATATATACACACACACACACACACCCACACACACACGAGACTATCTATAAATAAATAACAGATAAAGGCTCAGTTTTTTAATCCGGTTTTAAGTTTGAGGCAATATAAGAAATGAAATCGCCATGGCTGCAACAACGGGGGTTAATTCTGTTACGCCACGCCAAGATACGTTCATTTTCTTTGATGCATCAAACATTAAAATCCTAAAAATTCACCATAACGGATTTCAGTCCTTCCATATCATCACAACCCTATATTCAGACACACACTTCGTCCGATGTAGGGACTTTTATATGATATATTAAGTTAATACGGAGTAATAATTATATATAAAATATAATGTATAATATATAAAATAAGTATATGTATATTAATATGTTAAAAAATATTAAACTAAAATATTATAAGAATTTGTTAAAAAATACATATTCATACATCAAAAAGAAGTATTGATAGGCAAATAATTTTTTTTGAAATTATAACGGGACATATTAAACTGAAATGTTATAAAAATTTGTTTAAAAAAAATATTAGAATGAACTTCTTTTCTCTATCTTTTATGTATATACTTTGCATTATATCTTCCTTATTTTGGTCATACATTATATATAACTATATTGATATATATAGCTACGTATATAGCTATAATATGTGTGTGTGTGTATATCGGATGAACTAAATCGACACACACACAGATATATATATATATATATATATATATATATATATATATATATATATATATATATATATATATATATATATATATATATATATATATATATATATATATATATATATATATATATATATATATATATATATATATATATATATATATATATATATAACGAGTTAAATGAGATAGAAAGAATTCGTATAAAGGTAAAGAGAGAAAAATCCATAGAAATGAAGTTCGAAACAAAAATCTTACATCCATAAAAGAAGATCCATCGTACGGAGATGTAGAGACAGAGGAGGGAGAGAGACAGGCGGCGGCGGCGGAAAGGGAGCGTGACGGCGGAAACGGAGGGTGACGGAGGAAAGGGAGAGAGAGAGAGAGAGAGAGAGAGAGAGAGAGAGAGAGAGAGAGTCGGGTTTTGGTTTTGAAAGCGTAGCTAGGGTAGAAAATATGTTTAGGTTTTATTAGTGGGCTGGGTTGAAGGGTTGTAGTGGGCTGGGTTTATACGATTGGGCTGGGTTCGTTTAGTTTAAAAAAAATTGTAAGGGGCTTAAATGGGTTGATTGGTTTGAGTATATTCAATTTTGATCTAATTTAACTCGGGTTTGGATTTATTTTGCCGGGTCAATTTCACATATTTATTTTTTCAATTCAAATTCAATTAAAGATTTAATCGGGTTGGTTGCGGTCAACTAGGTACATTTTTTTGTTATTTTATTTCACATGTTTAAAAAAGTATTTTAATAAAATTCTATTAAAAATAATATATTTTTATATATTATAAGTTACTATATTTATTGCACAATTAAAGTATTGAAATGATTTTTATATGTAATGTATCCGACATGTTAACTATTTGTATGTCTATTATGATTATGACAAATGTTAGTTTTTTGTTACGAAATTTCAAATTTAAAAGGATAAATATTAGGAATGTATCATTCTCTATGTTTACAAGAAATGGATAACGTATTTCTTTTTATCGTTAATTTTTTAAGTAAAACATCATATCTTTCATGTTTGTATGCATATAATGATGATAACGAATGTTAGATTTTTGTTATGAAATTCTAAATTTAGAAGGATAAATATTAGCAATGTATCTTTCTCTACGAATGTAGTTTATAAAGAAGTGTTCCAAAACTGATTCCGCTTCATATCGACCTTGCTCATTACTGCATAGAATTCCCTTTTTGGGGAATAATATTAATTTATGTTATCTTTCCGGTTTTGTAACATTTTCTATTATTCCAAACATTGACTAAATATATGTAAATTAACAGCCTGTGAATCGCACGGGTACGAGTCTAGTAAATACAGTAATAAATAGTCCTTCCCCATGTAAATTTCATGAAGTGATTTGCGAGAACAAAAAAATTCTGATTTTTTTTGAGATTTTGGTGTAGAAATAAACAAATTATAAATTTAAGAACTACATCAAAAGTTTTTTGAAACAAATATGATACTTCGTATAATTATATTATTCTATCAATTGATTTATAAAAACACATAAATAAATAAAATCATTATGACTTTAGAACTATATATAGCTTAAAATTTTATTTGAG